GATCCAAGCGAGGCAGGTGCAGAGATGCATGACTCTTTTCTGTAAAGTGTCAGGGGAAGTTCTGTTGTGCTCTGTGCAGATTTAAGCAAATAAATGAGTTCAATTTGTGTTCCAGGGCAAAAAGCCCTGCAACACAGCTAGCTTGGCTCTTTCTCAAAGTAACATCTTCAACATTCTGTTTGTTTAATCTGTTCATTTGTGTGCATTAGAGATTCTGGCCGTCAGATTACCTTCAGAGGGAACAAAGCTACCTGATTCCAGTCTTTGTTCTAAGACTGGCTCCAGCTACACAGCGTACAGACATAAGAGTGATACTGATCTTCTCATCTAACCGTTGGCAAGAAAGCAATTAAGCACGTTTCCAAAAAATCTCAAACTACTTGTAATCTAATTCAGTCACACCTGACATTAGCGCTCCCTATGCAGTCCAAACCATATGTTTTCTATCCAGCAGGGTTCAGCTTCGGCAGCATTTCAGTGATTGGATCTTTTTCTTTCTTTTTTCTTTTCTTTACCAGAATAATGAAATGTCTGCCTGTGGCGAAAGCCAATGATTAAACCCAACTTTAGCACACTGGAATGTACATTGTCTGTAGAGGAGATCAAGAAAACACAGTGGAGCCTGTTAACTTTAAAGGTTTGCGATGAAGGTAACCAGATCATAAAGTAACAAACACAGCGCTGAACTCACAAATGAGGCTTCCTAAAATGTCGAGCTACTCTTTAAAGGGTAGTGCTCCCCTCACAAGTCTCGATTCTCTGATTTCCACGTCAGTTTTCTTTTAAATGAGAAGACGTCCAGCTTCCAGCAGCCCTCCAGTGGTCTCTCGGGCACCCAGAAGGCCTCGCTCTGTGGCACTGACACACTTTTGCCCTTACAAGCGTAATGCACCCGCTGGGCAAAGGAACAAATTATATATGAAAGCACAGACCGGAGCTGCGTCTCTGTCAGTTAAGGCAGACAGGGTTTCAGAGAGACTGTCGAAGGTCAGCTGCTTTTCTCAGAGCGATCTTTTTCAACCACACGTCCAAAGTCAACATTCCAACCAACCTACAGCTGTCAGAATGCAGAGAGGCTGAAAGCAGGAGGAAATGGAGAGAAAATCTGAAAGACTGTTGGAGAAAGTTTTTTTTTGTGTGTGTGTGCCTCCTGAAGAAGCTAAAGTTTCACAGGTTTGGCTTCCCCAGCTTTGGAAGCCCACATGCCTACAGTTATTCATCTGGGCAGACATCATCAATTACCACTAATTAACCAGATGATGGTCTGGTGAGCAGAAAATGAAGCAGGCGATTAATCACTCCGAGCACCTCCAGGCCAACTGCTCGACCTAAAATAGGAGGACGGTAAAGAAAAGAGCTCAGGTCTCGACTCTAGAAACAGGACCAAACAACTGTGGTCCGCAAGTAGAAGATTACAGAGATTCCCGAGGATTACGTTGGTGAAATCCATCCATTGAACAGATCTAATGGAGAAAATACGCCTTCATCCTTGGGCATGCACTGCTGACCTCCCTTTTGTTTAGCCATTTTTTTTGTCTAAAACCAATTTTGAGTATCAATAACATGGGATATATCATAGTTTCAGTAGCAAACTTGCACCAGTTTGACATCTGTGATATAGAAAAATGGGAACAAGCACCCTGCATGTTTTATCCATTTTTCTGATAAAAGATAGAGTTTTTTTAAGTGCATTCTGAGTAATATTTTAAGGGTCATATCAACATGTGGGGGAGGTGGTTGGTCAAAACAAGTTACAGCATCTTTGGGTCATGATGTCCTCTGTGTTGAAGCAATTTTCTAATAAAGGCGTATTTTCAAACAAAACTCAAATGTATTTTTCAGTGGTGAAACTTGAATGTGGTTATCTCCTGTATTTATGAAGTTATGAGGCCTCAAAATGCTTAACGTGCCTAATTTCAACCCACCATTAAGTACTTTCTCCAAAAATATCCAGAGTATAAAGGTAAAGTTTTGCACAGCTTCATTAAAACTGCTGAAGTTATTGTACATAGAAAAATCTGCTGATTCTGAGGGGGTTCTCAGAGCACCTCCAGGCCAAATTCTCAACCTAAAATAGAAGGATGGTAAAGAAAAGAGCTCAGTAACACGACCAAACCATTGTGGTAGAAGAAAATAGAGATTCCTCTGAGGATTGCATCGGAAATATCCGTCTGTTTGACAGATCTAATGGCGAAAATACACCTTTATCCTTGAGCACGTACAGCTGACCTATAAGAGGCGTAATACAGAGAGAAACGATAGTCACGCAGGCTTCTGTATGCTATCTTTTTATTAGATGGAGGGAATTTACTGCCGGTGCTGCTTCCTTTCGCTTGTCCGTGTCATTGCTTCTTCTCAGGGTGAGTTACTGGTGGTTTGGGTGGTGACGTAGTTGTGGAGAGAGTCCTGGGTGCAGTCAAACTTGTAATTCAGTGAGGAATTTCTCGTCTGGTCAAGGCCCGGCTGTCTTTATAAATAAAGAGGTAAGTCTTCCAAAGAGGCAAACGGAGGAAGAGGAGAGCAGAGACATGAAAAGAAGGAGTCCTCACCTAACCTACTTACTTACTCAACACCGCTGCAAAACCCTGATATGAATTTCAAATCCCCCATAAACATGGTCACAGGTCAGATTTCTGCGCTGTTTACAGTGAGAGAGGTTCTGCAAATAAGAGCACGCTGATGCTGAGCATGAAATAATTCTTGTCCTGATCCAGGAAAATATTATCCTGACGAGCGGAATCCAGAATTTGTCTTCCAGACGGGGATTTCTGGGGATCGTTCAAGGCCTGCTCATGAGTCAGTTATAAGGTTACTGCATAAATCTCCATACACCGCGTGCAATTCGGTCAATTCTAATCAGCCCGTTGAGTTGAATTAAATTACAGACGGCCGTGATTATGTATGCAAATTTTAGCAGAGCGGAGCATCTTTTTAAATAAAAAAAAAAGGAGGTGCACATCAACAGCCCAGCAAGTGCATGTTTAGCACACTGCTGCTACACTCTGAGAGTCAGCTGCTGCTGCTGTGTTTGAAGAGGGAGTCTGGGCTGCTTCAGTGGCACCGACTCGCCCCATGTGTGCTTTATTGCCTCATCTTCGGTGGTGATTTATGGCTCCTACACAGGCCACTTTTCTGGGCTGTTTATATCTGCTGAAGATAAAAGAAAATCATGGCTTTATTACCTAGACGGAGTGGGTCTGTTTACACAGCAGAGGGCCTCATCGGGGAGCTGCTACATAACTGCATCACACATATCTGATCCGCCTTTTCAGAGGCAATAAACTACCCCGTGTGTGCAAATCATCACTCAGCAGGACTGATACGTGTTAAATATAAAGTGGTATCTGTGGGAACATTACTGTCTGCTCCTAATGTTGACAAGTAGACATTTCATCCTCATGACTCATATCCAAGAGAAAGAAAAAAAAAAACATACAGCTTTGTTTGGATTATTACTAAGACGTTCGTCTGGATAAGAACTGCTTGTGCTTTCTCAGTCGTAGGTATCATTAGTCCGTGTACTATACAGTAATTCAAGATTGCACTCAAGGCTGCATGTGCTGTGTCCTTATGTCTTCCCAAAAAGCTCCCTTTCATGCAGCCTCTGTCTGAAAACTGTGTGCCTGTGGCTCCATCCTGTGGTGAGAACGAGGAACAGGGCAAATGACACACATATTATGGCCTCAAAGCTGCAACCTGCAACAACAAAATAAGCTACAATCGCTTCTTTTTTTCTTTTTTTTTTTAAATAACACCATCTACAGCTTCCCTCAGCTTTACAGAGCTTTATGAGTTTAGCTCATTGTTTAGCTGTTCGGTCAGCAGACAGGGTTTTTCCTGCATACAGGAATTTTTGGGAGGATTTAACCAACGCCAAAGGAAACTCACCAGGGCCAAAATGATAAGAACTGAGAATAAAAAATGCTCCTTTTTTTGTTTTGTTATTATGGTTTCACTTGCACAAACATAGATGACATTTTTCTTCATCAACTAGTCAGAAATAACAGGAAAATGCAGATTTCCGATGAACAACAGCAACAGACTCATTGCCTTTTTTTACCGCTGCAGACCGATCGTGCTCATTCTTGTGCAAAGTCTCCCCCCAAAGGCCCCTTCTGAGCCACGAGAAACCCTGGCAACTCCACTGTTTTAAGCTCATTGCTTTAATAGCATTGTTTTCGGCCGTAGCAGCAGCTGTTTTTTTTTTAGTGAAAAAGCTCTAAAACCCCACTAAACACCAGCTGCCTTGCAGTTTGAGATGAGCTGGAGAACATAAAAGAGCATGTAATAGCTAAAGAGACAGATATTTCCCTCAGGTGTTGATAGAGACCAAAAACTAAGCTAAAGAAAAAATACAGTTGGCATACACCAGGTTGCCAGAAATTCAATTCCACATGAATGGTAATGTGATTTTGAGATAAGGACCAATTTCTCAGATCAACCATAAGTCTCCCTCTGGTCTCTGATTAAACCCCAAAAAACTCATCTCTGTTCATCAAAGTTTTTTTTTAATGAAAATCATCAGCATCTGCCTGAAAAAGACTTAGATGTAACGCCACACTGTTGCTTCCTTTATAATGTGCAGATCTATGAAGTTGCCTCCACAGCTCACTGCAGCTCAGCACACCAGCTCACCTACAACTCAAACACTGTACAACTATTCCAAACTACACAATGAAAGCTGATTCTGAAGTGGAAAAATCGTAGAGAAAGCTCCACTCTGCAGGCTGACAAGATAGTTTTTTTGTTTGTTTTTGTTCAGGTCTGTTAGATATGAAAGCCCACATTTGAATCCATATTTTTGAGACGGCCATCATCACCCTCCAATTTCAAGGTGAAAATGTTCAACCATGGTATTAACTGCCTTTTTCTGGGTCTTAAAAAGATGATCATATGTGCATGTTGTGTTTTTTCCAGCTGTCCCCAAGTGGCAAAAAACAAATCTGGCTTAATTGCTTTAAAAAATAACATCAGCCCAGGACATGAAACGACAAGAGTTCTCTTACAGTATTGCATTATTTTATTAGCCAGTACAGAAGATTAACTGTGATGTAAGGCTGTTTTGTTTTTTCCATTTTTTTTTTTTTTACACACTGGAGACCAAAAAAATGACAGCAGCTTACAATACACACTGACAGGGAGGTCAGTGACTTCTACAAACCAAAAAGGATTCAAATCAGACAAAATGATAGTGTCTCAATACATATAAACGATGAGCACTTTGTACTTCATGTAATTTACAAAGCTTCTTCTACGTCCTCCTGATAGTGCCAGTAACGGTTACCGCGAGCCTTCAGACAATTAGCAAAAGTCCGGCAGGTAACGTCTTCTACCCAACGACCTTTCTGGTAAGAAAACAGTACAGGATCAGTAATTGTGATGACATTGTCTAAGGTGTGTGATATTTACTAGAGCGGAAGCATGCGAGTTAATACGACACTATCGTCTGCAGAAAAACAATGCTGACGAGGTTACATTAGCTAGAAGCGCAGAGGTGTGTGTGTGTGTGTGTGTGTGTGTGTGTGTGTGCTGCACCGCTGGGACTTGTTTGGATTGTTCTCCACACTGATTTCTGATTCTGCTCATCGACCGCACTCATTCGCCGTTTATATAATCTCAGTGTTGTTGCATTAATGTATAACCGCTGGCTGTAACCTTTGAACATAAAAAGCTATTTTCTACAGACGGTAAAGACCAATATGCCACGAAAGAATTCACAGCTAATACACTTAAGAGGACAAAAGCGTGGAGACGGAGGCTGAGAGGTTATAGTTGCTTCGCTATTTAAGAAAATACTGTATTTAACTCATTTTTCATCATCGAGCAACAGCAAATATGTGGAAGTTTTAAACGAAATAATACTTAACACTTTTATAAGTAATTATATTGATATATAAGGTTGTGACATGTAGGTAACCACACACTTACAACTGCTTACCGATAGATGGTATAGTGTTCACGCTAAGAAAGAGGATGATGTGGTGAAATACGGCATGTTGTCGTGTTTATGGTGCTGCACTTAGCAACAATAAAACCGACTAAGAACCATGAAGTGAAGCTAAATTCGATGTATTTATCAGTAAATCTGCACTCGCCCGTGGTTTGGCGTAACTTCACAAACTGCACAGCACACGGAGCGTTCAGGTGTCTCATGCGATTACTGTATTTTCCACTGCTGCAACTTAAGCCAAAACAAAACCAAAAAAAAGCGTCAGAAAACTCGGTACTAAAACTGTTCTCACACATCGATGAGCTGAATCAGAAATCAGTTTTTAAATTAAATTAATCCCACAGTTTTGAGGAAATTAGTTCAAAGAGCCCAACGCTAGCCAACAGAGTACTGGTGTTCAGGGAGCCAGCGGTCCCAGCCTCAGCTCTACGTGGTGCACCAGCCAAATGGCCTCGGCGGCGACGTCGCCCGCCTCCTCGCTCGGCCTGATGGGAGCTGCGAGGTTGCGGAAGTCGTGTCGGATCTTAAACGAAACAGTGACATCCGCGTCCTCTTCTTTCTGAGGGATCACTTTGATGAAGAAACCAATCTTGTTGGATTTCCTGAAGGCAACAACACTGTGGAGAGGACGGAGAGATAAGGGTAAGAGTTGCTCTCACTCTATTACTTCTGTGTGTGTGAGTGTGTGTGAGCGTATTAACTCACTCTGGGTCATCCTGGAAGTCCTGAGGTTCAGCCAGCTCGTCATACTCAGCAGCAGCGTCCTTTCCGGCCAAGACCAGTTCCTTAGTGGGTACTATAACCTATAACAGAAAAAAAAAATTGTTGTACATTTCAGCGACTTCGTCAAAATTGTAAATGTGCTTCTTCCATTTCAAAACATGCTCATGTAGTAATACAGTGTGATTGAGAAGAAAAAAAAAAGAGGTCAAATATTAAACATTTATCAGCATGGCTTTACTTTTCCTACATTGCTATATCGAAAAGTGAGCTATTTCTAATATCTTAAAAAAAACTAAAGTATTTCCCCTCCAGTTAAAAAGACTGGCTGTGTCACACATTTATCACCTCATATCTGCGCTGTATGTGTGCATCTATACTGATAGATGGATCTATATAGATACATATATATGAGTGTGTTTGACGTAAGAGGTGAGTGAACCCAGTCGAGATAGCTGGCGATAAAAATCAAGCGAGCATGGCTTGATGTGGTTCACACTGCCCTCCAGGTGTTTGAATATCAGATCAAGCAGAAAGACAGGACTGCACACTCTGTTAGGCCATGAAGTGAATGGAAATGGGTCATGAAGATGCTCCCTTTTTTGGCCAGGAGCTCTTCCTTGCCCAGGCGGGCCCATGATTTCATCACTAAAGAGGCCAAGACAAAACAGCCTGTAGTCACAGAGAGCCTCGGAGCAGCTGCTGGCAACAGGCAGCTCAGCAGACCGTTACACGGCGCTCTTAGCGATGCGTGTGACAGCTAACAGATAGTACGAGATGATGTGAAGGCTACCAATTTCTTTAGGAAGAGACAGTATAAAAGAGCTGAGCACTGACTGCATATCGTTGGAGGAGGCTGTTGAAAAAAGGTGAAGATTGGCTCTACCCCTTTCTTATCCTATGCATTTAATCATTTTATTTCTGGCCACAGAGGAGCAAAATACCTCCGAGAACAAGCTGTTATTTCCTTATATAGCTTTACTTGTAACACAATTATGTGTCTAGACAACAAAGAGCAACATTAGCATCCCATCAGAGGGAATTTTCTCACCATTGTGATAAAATTACATCTAATATTCATTTTCTGATCTTTAGCACAGCGATGGTTTTCTGATAAAGGCTGAACCATGCAGGTAATAAACTATAAACACAAACAATGATTCAGCAAGTTTAAAACCGTCAGTAGAGTTGCAAAGATGTGAGTTAAATTTAACTTTAGTCAAAATATTGACTGAAATCGATTTACCCTCATTAAAGACATTAAACAAACAGCATTTTTTTTGTCCTTCAGTGTCAGTAGAAACTATCAGAAATACCTTGGCAGTGCTGTTGATGTCATCAGGATCTTCCTCCTCACAAGCACCCAGTGTGACGTGGGTGATGTTCTCCACCGGGTTGGTGAGGGTCAGCAGCACCTGGCTCTCCTAAACACATGGGATGGGGGAAAAAGACAAAAGTATAACTTCAAGTATCTTTCAAGACTAGCTGCATTCAGTTAGAAGGCAAGTAGAGCTGACTGCACTTCGATCTGATGGATCGTTTGGTCGATATGCTCCCATCAGACCAAATTCTCATAGGTCTGACAATCACCTGTGTTAGTTTCATAATGAGAGAAGCACTACCTCCAGGATTCATCCATTCTTTTAAGCAGCTGGTATGAAACTACCTGTGAACACACCTGGAGATTGCTAGGTCGAACTTATTTAACATTTACATTTACTGAACGTTTACGCAGAGTCCAAACTAACTGATAGAAGTCGGTGTGGATGCATTTTGTTACAACAGAAGGCCAGAAAGTTAAGTATAAACTTTGCAGACAGCTCAACAAACCAACAAGGCAGCCTGACTCGTCTGCATTATGTTCCTCAATAGTTCTTGTGTTGGGCTCAGCAGCTGATGTGGGTCTATTTTCAGAAATCATATGAACATGGTTAGGTGGGTGCTGGTCTGCTTACAGTCCATTGTTATGTCAGTTTTAAATATCTTGGTTAAAATGATTTAATATGCTGCAAAAAAAAAAAAAGTTTTTTATAATTCATTTAGGCTAATGAGGCTAGTGGATGGAGAGCTCTCAGTGCACCGTGGCTGATTTGGTTAATCAACGTGCAGACATGTACTTCTCCTCTCAACTAATCAACCAGTTAAAGTAGCTACAACCTCAGTCAGATTTTCTCTGGTTGACGACAGCTCTACAGGCTACTGCTTTTAAATCTCGCTTTGCTTTTCTTCTGACCACAGTACAGGTTGTTCCCAATACCTGAATGAATGCCCTGGAACCGGGGAATCATGTTGAGGAACAGGTGACCGCATTTTCACTTCACTATTGAGGTTTGTAAGAAGCTCGTGTACTTGGGTGACATAGACCTCTATCATTCTCATGTCATTTCATCATATTAGTTTCACAAGCTAAAGGCTATTATTACTGTCTTTGGATGTTGTTCAGTCCGTCTGAATGGCAGTCGGAGCAGTGCTGTTCATTTGGGTGTGTAGTACAGTTTTCTACACGGTTTTCAAAGTCCGTTTATCAGCAGAACAATAAAGACTGGGAGCTACTTCAGCTCATATTTATGTACTGGTGAGTTAGACAAGTTTCTAAAAGGCACTGATCGCTAACAGCATATTTCACACTTAAAACGCTGAGGTTAAGAATGTGAACAAAATAATAAGGTGTAAAAGATATATTCAACATTTCAAACCCCGTGCACATACTGACCTTCATGTACCGGAGATTTGGTATGGACATAATTCTCACTTCGGGGATGTAGCTCCTGTGGGAAGACAGGCAGAAGAGCAATCAGTACACTCTGAACACACCAACAGCATTCAGCATTCTGCCTTCACTGGACTCCTGAGAACATCTTCAGTTGCAGACAGTGATGAGCCAAAACATTATGATCACACCCGACAGCAAACTGGACTTGTTGTCCAAGACACAGTTTCAGAGTTATTTCTCAATATTATTATGAACATGAAGCTATTTCTGCATGAATAATTTCCTGAATCTGTGCATTAAACTGCCAGACTTTTAACTGATTAAACTACACTAGGCTTGCAGATGATTAAACTTTTCATTTGTTAAAAAGATCAACATTATTAGGAAAACAGATGTTTCGTACAGAATCCGATGAATAGACGATTGTACTCACACAGCCACCAGCTGAATTTTAAACTTGATTGAAGTAGGATTAAACTCTGGCTTGCTCAAGTTGTGCTCGCATTTCTTGAAGAAGAAAGAAAGAAAAGACACCGTTATCTAAATGGAATCTACAGAAAAAAACAGAGCCTTTGATTGATACCGAACACTGAAGCGGTGCTGACCCTGCAGCGCAGCGAGCGCTTCATCAGGAGGTGCTTGTGTCGGGGGTGAAGCTGAGACGCTCCTGCAGGCTGGAAGTCTGGCTGCAGAAGCCGCTGGCGCAGCGTGGTCACTGGAAGGAAACAAAAAGATTTAGATCAAGCTGAATAAGAGAAGTCATCAGTATTGTTTAGAGAGTTCTGGACCAGATCTTACCTTCTGGTAAACTGATGGGTCTGGTATAACAATCCTCAGGTAGGGGCTCCACCTCATCAAGGGCCTGGGCAGGTTCGATGCTGATCTCCTTCTGATCCTCACCCTCTTTAAGGCTAGATGAGTTACACAAACACTGCTTATTGATGGCATTTAATATCGCTGGAGGCTAACTACACCATAAAGCACAAAGACCAAAAACAGTAAGAGCACTAATGGATTTGGAAGCTTTAGCACAGAAACCATAAATAACCTGCTGACATTAAAATTGCCCTGTTAGACACTTAGCAAAAAATACTTTTGAGGAGTTAATGTTGATGCCCTCCAGCACACTTTCGCAGCCAAGATTTTTAGACTTTGGCTACTGCGCGACAACCTTTTGAAACAATAGACAACCAAACTCGCATTATTCTTTCCTTGCAGTTCTCGCCTGCTTTACATTTGTCTCCTGGATGTGACAGGACACTTTGTCAACACACTGTCTTTTGTCAGCCAGTCATTAATTGTAAGATGTTAAAAAGGGTCCTTGAATGCATTCTGGTAAAGAGATTTAAAAATGATCCCTGCTGACAATTATATTACTACAACGTTATGATGCAACTTGAGAAAGAAAAAAAAAGAAGGGTGACGAACGGTTCGCTATGATGAATTACTCGCACATCTCAAGCCAAGTTTCAAGGCTCTGCAAATTGATTTCAATGGCACGCCGAAATGAATCAAACCAACAACTGCTGAAAGGTCGAAAATCTATTAATCTATGTCACCAGTATTATGTTGTACACAGTGTATAGCTAATGGGCTGAAGCATGCAAACCCAGCGCGCTCCTTTATGTATAAAAAGTTTGACTTGGGGGAAAAAAGTGTTTTATGTGAAGAGTCACAAGCAGCAGTTATACCCAATAAATGGCAAAAGACAACTTACGAAAGGCCAGCCAGGCTTGAGATGGGAGCTCCAGACCTCTGCTTCTGCAGTCTGGTTCCAAGGCCATATTTTTCCTGAGTAAATTTAGAAGGAAAAAACACAATCAAGCAATTTACCTACTGAAAATTAAGGACTCAAGATGATTTGTGAAGTTCATCTACAGCTATACTTCTACTTTTAAACACAGGGGTTGACCCAAAAACGGAATTTATGACAATGTTTAAAAACAAAAAGGGAAAGAAATTGTATTTGACATTTAAATAAACAATAAATAAGCCATAAACAGTTCACTTAGGCTTTTGGTGGGGAAAAAAAACAGGAGCCTTTCAGGCCAGAATAGCGGGAGAGAAACATCTCAGGACTTAATTAGCACGAAGCATATTTTGATCGTGTTACACAGACTTCAACAAAGTCTTCTGTTGCCTCTCTCCCTCTAATCAACATAAAGGCTCCCCTTGTGCGGATCTCATTTACCCAAGGAGACATTCATGTGATCTGTGAGGCCACTCAGTAACAGATTAGACAGAAACGGAGATAAAGAGACGACAGTGCTACTGCAAAGACGACACTACCCAAGTTGTGAAAAATACAACTCACCACCACATGAATAGTGTGTTGCTGGGGGAAAAAACCAAAATGTCAGAGTGCATAAGCAAAGGAAAAAAAGAGAGAATAAAGAACAAGGTGAAACCAAAGCTGTTTAGCAAAACATTAGTGGCATTTGGTGACATGCAACAGCAACAGAAATGCATCAGTGATGGAAAACAACCGCAGGACATCACAGATTAAGTGGTTCCAAATACACAATAGGAAAGACTGCTTTGCATTAATGGATGTTAATTATTGTAAAAGCAGAGTGCAGGAGGTGTGAACAATGTGCCAACAAGCTAAAGAAGCATGAAGACCATGTCCACACCGGGGCACATTTTGGCCTTTCAGACACACTCAGTATACTGGTATTTTAAAATTTTAACCTGGACAAACCACTTGGTGGAAGCAGCCAAAAAGTATGGACATGGCATCAATTTGCACTCCAAATGAAACACAGCAGCCGATAATGCCAATTATTCCCTCCTGCTTCAGCCACAGGCACGCTAATCATATAAAATTTTCTAAGTGGTACCTTGTTTAAGTGCACCCTTGGTAATGTTATTGAGCTTGAGGTAAAATGAATCTCTTAAATGGAAATAATTGTTGACCTAAGCTAATAGCAATGCTGAGACAACAGCTGTTTGACATTTAAAAAGGTTAAAGAAGAAGGTATGACATTTTTGAAAAGGCTGAGTGTAACTGCTGGGCTCAGAGGGAGCAGAGTACCGAGAACGCCAGGGGCATGCACTGTCGTCTCCTGGCCAACTTCTTCCTGTCTCGCTCCTGCTTCTCTCGGTGAGCCAGCTGCTGATAATACTCAATCAGCTTGTTGATCTGTAGCGAACAAAAAAAAACATACATCAGTGCTTCATGCATTTTTCTATAAAAGAAGACTGTCTGTTAAAGGAGAACTGTAAAATATAACAGCACATAGTGATTTTACACATTTATAAGTAATGGACTTACAGTAACTAGATAACATATGATGGCTGTAAGTAAAAACTGATTTCCTTTCCTAAAACAACTGGTTCTCAAACTTTAACTTGGTAATTGAATTAACTTGGGATAATAACCACTGAAAATTACCAACATGGAAACAAACACTTAAAAAATTATTTGGTAGAATAACTGACGGTGTTTTATATTAAAAAGGTTAAAGCGTGCACACTTAGAATTTGTTGTTTTTGCCAAATTTCTGTGCAGCTGCTTAGTTGCTGCTTTTGCCATGGGCTGTCTATATGTGGGTGTCACTTATTCAGAGACACATCTATTCAGAAGCAAGCAATGCATAATCAGGAAACATGTGAGCAACTCGAGAGACTTTAAATGACCACGGGGGGAAAACGTACCCGCTGAGTGTGAGGGTTCTCTGGCTCTTGCCATCCACCACTCGCTGCAGTGAAGAAAATGCACAAAAAAACATCAGACAGTCATAGAAGACCATTCCTACTCCAAACAACTTTATTCATGAGCTAAAGTAATGAGCAGCTGTTCAGTTACTGCAAAACTTTTGACATAATGCAGGGCTTTTTGCATTGCTGTTGCTTCTTAGTGCTTTCAAACCAAATATGTCCTCATTAGTATGTCTGCACTCACCAACTGATTTGTCAGCCATTCCCACATCCCTTGAGGTCCAGCGACAGAAGCCGCAAGCCAAATAGTAGGCTTTCTTCATGGCCGTCTTGGTCGGATCATCAGGCAGGGGAGCCGGGATGTTAGTGGCCCGGGTCGACAGTGTGTGCATGCAACACGGGCAGTCAAAACAGTTTGCACACCTACAGTAGACAGATGTTTAGGAAACAGTACATGGCTATTAATGGCATAAATATGAGGGCATAAGAAAACCAGACAGATAAAGAGTAAGCATGGACTGAGTACTAAACATTTCTCGATGCACTTCAGTCTCACCTGTTCTTCTTAAGCTTTGCCTCTGCAGAAGGCATGTTCTCCAAACAGCTTGGACAGTAGTGGGAGTCCACCTGATGATCAGAGACAGAAATGTAACAGTCAATCTATGAATCCACATATTAAAGCTTGTCTTAAACAGGCTTCCTAACTGCTGGATTGTCAAAATGTTTGACAACTGCAACCTACATAAAGGCGATTATCATCGTATATGGTTAGCATTTGTTTCAACAATGTGTTACAGTCACTTAGACAGTAAACTACTGTATCCCAAGAGGTAAGATTGATGTTTTTTTAAAGAACTAGTTTGCATAGAAAATCACAGATTCGTATTATAATGGTACTACAGAAGAAACATCCAGCTAAGTCGTTCTGGGTGTGGTGTCTCTAACTGTGAGCCACGTTAGCAAGCCATACTATAACAGTTAGTACGTTGAATTAGGTGGTTTATGATTAAAACAACAGTGTTTCTAATTGTCTAACAAGCCGCTCATGTCATTATTTGAGATAAGCAGACACTTTAACGTTTAAGTATAGGAAGAGCTAGCTAGCTAGTTGTCCCATTTCGGGTGTTCACGACATAACGCTAATTCCAACGGAAGTGAAATCGTACAGCCAATGAGATGAACGAACTGCGTGACAAACATTTGATTGACAAGCGGCTTAGCCATACAACACGCGAGAAGACAGGACAAATCCCGCCTACCTGTCACAGCGACTAGCAAGTCAGCTAACAACAAAGTAGCTAAATAAAGCTAACTGCTAGCTTGTCATAACCAGAGGATAATAAGGGGAAAAACGCCACCGTACCTCGTGAGACACACATTCCAGAGACCGTAGCTCACTACAGTAGCGACAGAAATAAAGCTGAGATAAAGGAGCTCTGATTCTTTTCTCCCCACGAACCAGATAGACAACTCTATCTGGCTGCAAAAGGGACGCCATCTCTGCCCAGCGAAGCCGACTTGGAGGACTCGCTGACTGGCTGCACCGCTAGCCTTGATGCCTCCGCTGGTTGTCTGCACCTCCTGGAAACACAGTCCGCCCGTTGTCGCCCTCGTGTGGTGAATATTGAAACCGTCACAGGCCTTTACTCCTCTCTATTCCCTCTACTTTATTAAATGCAAAATTGCAAGATTAAAAAACAACAACAACCACAACAAAACTGTTAGCTAATG